ATCTCCTTGCTTTCTTCTGCCGGCACTGTGTGCAAAGCAGGCCAGCCCGTGGCACTGGGCATCAGCCTTGGCCATCGCCGCCCTGATATTTTTACCCATGATCTAATGATTCAGGAGTTTGCTGTCGCCCCCCTGCCTTTTCTCCTGCCTGCGGAATGTGCGCTGGGATTCAGTTTGCCAGCCTCACATAACTCGGCTGTGCACTCGAGTGTCAGTTGCTGCACCAAATGCAAAGTGGTTTGAGAGGAAGCAGACTGGGCTAGAGCTGAGGCCTGGGACTCCCGGCTTCTATCCGTGACTTGGTGATGGGATTTGCTGGGTGACCTGGGGCTAGTCAGTTCACCTCCCTCCGTTTCCCCATCTGTAGGACGGTGGTAGAGAAAGGTCTGAAACAAAGTCCCTCTCGCGCACAAATTTGGCTCTCTCTTTAAAGGTCACCTGCCTGCAGGTGCTGAGATTTGGGGCTTCAACACATAAATGCCCATTTCACACAGCCGGAGCCAAACAGATCCCACTTAGACCCCCAGGTTATGCGATCTGAGCCCACAGTGGCTGTTTAGAACAGAGCTGAAATTGACGTTGCTAGCTGAAATTAACAGTCTTGCCGAGACCCTTCCTCTTTCCAGCCCAGCTTTTACTTGGGTGTTGACACCCACAGCAGATGTTTCCAGTACAGTTTTAAGGACTAGGAATGATCAGCACCCCGATCGTGCGGAAGGAACGATCTTTCTTTTTATAGGTCCTACCAAAATAGTGTCAGATAGCGTTTGGTTGGTTTTGGTTCAGCAACCTCCCTGAAACCTGAATGATGATCGGCATGAACTGTGTCACATATTGAAAGTAACCTGGATGCTTTCTTCTTACAGCATTCGTTACTGTTCGGATACTGACATCTGCCCAAAGCAAAGAGCAGCAATTCAGAGTGTAATGGATTTTGTGCCTGGGAAAGCCAAGGTTCTTGGGTGGAATCTCAAATATTTCAAAATGCCCAGAAGGCAGGAAATCCCAATTTCTGCAGCGCCCCAGATGCAGATAAAGAATTTGCACACCTAAAAAGTCCTTTCATACGTTACACCGAGTAATAATACTTCGCAGCGTTTCCATTGCTTTATAAACATTATAGCTCCTGTTAGCAAAGGATTTTGAAGCATTTCACAAATGCCAAGTAAGCCTCACCCTGAGGCCCAGGGAGGGAAGGCTGCACAACTGCGACTACAACCTCAGAGCCCTGACCCAGGACTTCTTGCGGTGATCATGGCTCTGTGGCGGAGCTGGGACTAGAACCCAGAAGTCCTGAGCCTCAATCTCTCTAAAGGAATCTGGGTCAAATTCATGCCAGCTCTGTCCTTAAGCAGATGTGGCTCTGGGGAGTTAGCAGGGATAGCAAGTTAGTCAGCCTGTATCAACAAGGGCCGCAGACGGGTGAGCTGCCGGCATTTGGCTTGTCTCTCTGTGCAGGCCTCACTCGGAGCGTACGATGGGAGGGACCTGAAGCGGTCTCTGCAGCTCGGGTGGGTGGCCTTTATGACGCAGTCCAGCTGCTGCCCACGTGAGGACGTGCGTGATCTTTATTCTGTTGTACCAGAGTGATCTAAACCAGGAGTCCTCCCTTCAGCTCAGACTCACTGCAAGAATGAATCCAGCAGCCCCAGCCCTTCACAGGAGAGGGAGCAAACCTACAGTTCTGGCTAGTAGGGTGACCAGGTGTCCAGTGTTTGACCAGAACACCCGGTCAGAAAGGGACCCCGGTGGTTCCGGTCGGCACCGCCAACCAGGCCATTAAAAGTCCGGTTGGCGGTGCTGCCCGGCTAAGGCAAGCTAGTCCCTATCTGTTCTGGCACCATGCGGCGTCCCGGAAGCGGCTAGCAGGTCTGGCTCCTAGGCAGGGGGGCCACGGGGCTCCGCGTGCTGCCCCTACCCCGAGCACCGGCCAATGAGAGTTGAGGGGAGTGGTGCCTGCAGGTGAGAGCAGAAAACAGAGCCGACTGCGTGCCTCCCCCTTAGGTGCCAGACCTGCTGCTGGACGCTTCTGGGGCGCAGCGCGGTGCCAGGATGGGCAGGAAGCCTGCCTTAGCACCCCTGCTGCGCTGCTGACCGGGAGCTGCCGGAGGTCAGCCCGCGCCCCAATCCCTTGCCCTGAGCCCCCTCCCAACCCCTCATCCCCGACCCCATCTCAGAGCCCTCACCCCCTGCATCCAGGCCCCCTGCCCCAGCCCAGAGCCCCTTCTCACACCATGAACCCCTCATCCCCAGCTCAGAGCCTGCACCCCTTCCCGCATACCAGCCCCCTGCCCCAGCCCAGAGCCCCCTCCTGCACCCTGAACCCCTCATCTCTGGCCCCACCTCAGAGCCAGCACTCCCCTCCCACATCCCAACCCCTTTCCTCAACCCGCAGCACTCTCCCTCACTCCGAATCCCTCGGCCCCAGCCTGGAGCCCCCTCCTGTGCCCCAAATCCCTCATCCCCAGTCTCAGGGCCGGCTCCAGGCACCAACCGAGTAAGCTCGTGCTTGGGGCAGCATTCCCTCAAATTTTTTATTTTTGCTTGGGGCAGCAAAAAAGCCAGAGCCGGCCCTGCCCAGTCCCACCCCAGAGCCTGCACCCCCAGCTGGAGCGCTCACCCTCTCCCGCACCCCAACTCCCTACCCCAGCCTGGAGCCCCCTCCTGCACCCTGAACCCCTCATTTCTGGCCCTACCCCGGAGCCCTCACCTCCTCCCGCACCCCAACCCCCTGCCCCAGCCCAGTGAAAGTGAGTGAGGGTGGGGGAGAGCGAGCCACCAAGGGAGGGGGAATTAGTGAGTGGGGGCGTGGCCTCGGGGTGGGGGCAGGGCTAGAGCGTTCGGTTCGATGAGAAAGTTGGCAACCCTACTTGCTAGGGCCTCGGCAGTTTGGGTTCCAAGTGGGGATATTTCTGAGGTTCTGTTCCTCTCCTTCGTGCCTGCTCGAGACGCCGATTGACCTTGCCGAGCCTGGCTTGCCTTGATCAAGATGAGAACAAACCACTTGGATTTCCTTATTTTAGGTGACTCTTCCTCCCGAGGCATTTCCTACTCTTAGAGTCTCAGCACTTCCCCTCCACCTGTGGTCTGTCGTGGTTGTTTAGACTGTAAGCTCTCTGGGGCAGAGACGTTCTCACTGGGTGCGCAGCACCTAGCACGGTGGAGCCATGATCTCAGTTGGGGCCTCCAGACGCTACCGTCATATATTATGCACACAATAATAAATAGCTACGCATAGATCAACATGAGGGAGGAGATGTTAACCTCATAAGACTTAGAGGGTCGAGCTGTCCGACCCTCCCATGCTGTCGTTCTGTATGGAGTCAAAGTCCATCTTAAGCAGGTGTTTATTGTTCAGAATAGCTACAGATCTAAGCAGGCTTCCGTACAGCCCGAGTTCCAGCTTTGTCTCTGTTGTATGCCAGGGATCACGCCCCCCTTGGAGCTACATGCAGTATACATCACCATCTAGCGGGTCCATAATATATTGCAAGCCAACATATCACATCCACCAACCGGAGCAGGATCGCTGTGGTTTGCCCAGCACTTAAGTCTGGTTTTAAAGGTCCTATGGAAGACTCATCTATCTTCTTGCGAGGAGGTGTTTCCTGATGATCAGCCTGCAACTCCATTCTCCTTCATCTCCTTGCTCCTCAGAGCACCCTGAATAATTCCCTTTCCTTCCTTGGTGAATATATCTTTCAAATACCCCCAGACTCTTAGGGCCGGGCTGTAAATACTTCTACTAAATCTAAATCTCTTGGTCTTTCCTCCTCAATCAATCCCTTATTAACTGTCCTCTAAGGTCTCAAGTTTCACAGGCAGCTAGCGATGTTGGGGTTTTTCAGTGCGCAACCTGAGTTGCCTTTTTAAAGGGGTTTCCCTTTGAAACAGAGCTGAGCGCTATCCCGTTGGAAATCTGGCGCTTTCGGGTCTCGGGTCTGGCGCCCAAAATCACAAGCCACCAGAAAGTTTAGGCCCGAGTTCCCACTCACCTTTTCCCATCCCTGGTATGTAAAATGTTTCTGAAATGTCCTGTGGATCCAAGACCCCTTTAGTGGTAGCGTGGAGGAGGGAGGTTGTTTACATTGGTGGGCCTTTGAGGCAGGGACCATCTTTTTGTGCTGTGTCTGGTCAGCGCCTAGCACCTGGTCCACAACTGGGAGGCCTTGATGCTGCTGCAATACAGAGAATATATACTAATGATACTGTACTTGCTTTTCCAGTCTGAGCTGGAGGCTGGGAGCAGGGGGTGTATGTGTGTGTGTGTGTGTGTGTGTGTGTTGTTTTCCGTCAGATGTGCTGTAAAAGAGATCACTGCTTTAATTCCCCAGGGAGCCGCTTGCCAATTCATACGTCAGCCCGTGTTTCATTTTTAAACACCCACGCGCCGCTCTGAATCACCAGCCAATAAACACCAGCAGGATAGGGCCAGTAAAACAGCCCGTAACATGGGATGGAGCACGAGCTGCTTTCACGGCTGATCACCCCGTGATGCGTGTAATGGGAAGCTGGGAGCACTGGGAGATCAAAGAGCCTCAGGCACTGTCTATAGAGGGGATATTTGTAGCAGGGTAGCTATGCCCGGTGGGGCGGGGTGGATGTGCTGCATCAGTGTGAAATGGGGCTGCCTCCCGTGTCGTTTCCCCTGGTTTTGAAGCATCACTAACTGCACTGGTGCAAAACCCCGTCCTGTCTGTGCAGATCCCAAGTCGGGGGCATGGTAGCTGCATGAATCAGGAGAAACAGAGCAGGAATTGGGCAATCTGGACCTGTTCTGTGGCTACATGGGTCTCCGAGCACCAGGGCTGTCAGTCTGGCATCTTCCACCGTTGTGAAGTTCCCCAGGCCCCTTGGGATCAGGTTCTGAACTGTCCGCTGGGACTGGAGGGGTATTTGGACCTGGGAATTGTGCTCCGGGCCCCTCTCCAGCATTGGGCCCTCGTTGGCAGGGGGTTCCCCGAACACATCACCAGAGCAGTTTGTTGGCTGTGTTCCAGGAATGGCAAGAAGGAAGGGGACCTGCTGGCCGCGCAGGCTCGCCTCAAGGACCTGGAGGCCCTGCTCAACTCCAAAGAGGCCGCGCTCACCACCGCCCTGGGGGAGAAGAGGAACCTGGATAATGAAATCCGGGAGCTGAGGGCGCAAGTGTCCAAGGTGAGCAGCAGGTCCTGACCCCGGGGCCCCCCGCAGCCCCCTCTGCAGCGCCAGAGATCATGGCCTTCCCCGTGCATGTCCTGCCAAGCCTGCTGAAATACCCCGTATGGTTTGGAGTGGATGGGACCACGCAGCAGTTAATGGTCCCAGCGAGGTGTGAGCTAGGGAGCCAACCCCAGGTGGAATGGTGGGTAGGGGGGTAGGCAGGCGACCCACTCCTTCGCTGATGGGAGCGGCGAGGCGGGAGCCTTGTCTGACTCCTGTCGCAGCGGGGCACAAATCCAGCCCATGGACTCGGCCATGGTCCCTTCTGCTGCCCTGGGCAAAGTAGGAAATGCCCGGCCCAGCCGTGTCAATTCGCCCAAATTGGCCTGGAGACCCCCGATTTGGAGGGTCCTTTCCTGGGCCCCTGAGCAGCTGTCACAGTCTTGTGACAGGGAGAGCCCCTGACCTGCGGGAGGTGGGGGGCTGAGGCGCATGGAGGGAGTGGATTTGACAGGCATGATTTCGGTACTGGGGGGAGGGGAGAATTGATGGGTTTAGCTCTGATGTGGTTTATTCAAATGAGGCAGTGAATATGTAGAATATGCAAATTGAGCAATCACCATTTGCGGGAAGTCTCCAGATTTGCCGGCCTGCAGTCCCCAGGCTCAGCGGCCCCCTGGCTAGGGATCGCGCTTGAGACCCGCCTGCTGGGGCTGCGAATCTCCGTCTGGCTGCGCTCACTTTCCCCTCTCCCCTCCCCAGCTGGAAGCCGCCCTGGGCGAGGTTAAGAAGCAGCTACAGGACGAGATGCTGCGTCGGGTGGACGCCGAGAACCGTCTGCAGACGCTGAAGGAAGAACTCGACTTCCAGAAGAACATTTACAGCGAGGTGAGCGGGGTCGGGCTGCCCCTGAGCAAGGCCTTCCCCAATACAGCCCCTCGGTGCAGACTTATACACTGTACAGGCCCATGATTTATCGCTCCCCGATGAGGACAGGTCATGCCAACGCCCTCAGCAACAGAGAACTCAAGGCGAGATGCATTAGCGGTGGCAGCTCAGCTGAGGACGAGGGGATCCATTTAGCAGCGTTCACAAAACCCCACCTAGCTTTTGGGGCAATGGGGAAAAATCCACACCTCTGAGCGGTGTAGTTAAGCCGATCGAAGTCCCCATGTAGACAGCACTAGGTGGGTGGAAGAATTATTCTCCTGGGAGGTGGATTCCCTGTGTCGATGGGAGATGTGTAGGTAGAGTCTACACTCGAAGCGCGACAGTGGCCCAATTGTAGACAAACCCTGAGGATCAAGCGCCAGGTTCTGGGGCATGTACGTTGCACACGGAGCAATTCCCACTTGCGCCTGGCTCGGCACCGCTCCCACCTAGGGGGCAGGTGACTCCCAGGCGACGCCAGTGCGGGTCCCAGCAGCGAAGTTAATGGTTTGCTGCCACGTTTGCTGCCCTGTGCCAGTGAGCTCCATCTCTGAGAGCCACGGCTCACACAGCCCCTTATTGGTGTGATACCTCCCTCTCCCCCCCCCAACCAGGAACTTCGCGAGACCAAGCGCCGCCACGAGACCCGCTTGGTGGAGATCGACAACGGCCGGCAGCGGGAGTTCGAGAGCAAGCTGGCCGACGCCCTCCAGGACCTGCGGGCCCAGCACGAAGCCCAGGTCAGACTGTACAAGGAGGAGCTGGAGAAGACCTATGGCTCCAAGGTAACACACTGCACAGGGCCAGGGAGATGAGATGAGATGAGATGGGGTGTGGTGGGCCAGGGGTTCAGGACTGGGAGCCAGGACTCCTGGGTTCTAGTCCTGCCTTTGCCCCCAACTCTCAGTGACCTTTAAGCAAGTCACTTAAACCCAAATTTTCACCCTCAGCCTCTGATCTCTGGGAGCTCAGCTCACAGCGCCCAGGGTCCTGGCTTTGAGAGGCCTGGAGCAGCCTCCCCTCCGTGTGAGATCAATGAGGAATCAGGCTGAGCTGGCAAGACGGCCAGAGCTGGGCACTGAAAATAGGGGCCCACTTGTGAAAATGTTGGGGGCCCTTTCCTGTCCTTGGGCCCTGCTTTCCCCACCTGTGAAATGGAGAGAACACTTAGTACCA